TGTTTCTTGGTACTCGCCGAAACCGATACTGAAATGAGTAACCTACTTAGTGTTGATCAATCAGACGCATCCTGGAACATTTAATTTATCTCTGTTTGTTTAAAAAGTGGTCATGAAAAAATTCATTGTTCATGTTACTAGGCTTATTCTTTATAACGTTAGCTAGTTAATTTTAAAGGAAGTGCATTAGCTAGCTGCATTAGTTAGCTTGGATTGAGTAGGGTTGCGGTGGAGAGCAGCGGGGTTTTTTTTTTTTTTTCACTTCAGAAAAACGCTTCTGTACATCTATAAGTAAAGTACGTTTTTGTTTTCATCGTGACAATCCCTCACTGTTAATGACAGGTGGTGGCTGATTGTCAAGAACAACATACAGGGTAAGAGCTGTTACTGTCACTCACATTGATTGATTGATTATTTTGATTACGCCACATTAAAAACACACCCATTCATTAACTCTTACAGATATTAGAATGCACATGCCTGGCCTCCTAACACAGTCATAGCAGACCACATTTCCAGTGTAGCCCTACAGTGGATAAAGAAGTGCTCTCGGCAGACCTGAGCTACACGCAATGCTTTGACATTGACTTTCGCCACCCAGTGAAGTCTTCAGTGCTCTAATCAATATCGCACCCCTGTTCCAGAGAATGAGTGTTACGTGTACAGCTGCCGCTGTGGTGGCGAGTTTCTTCTGGAGAAGGAGGATGCAGAGGGGGACGAGGATGCTGTCGTGTGCTGCGACACGTGCTCGCTCAGCATCGAGGTGAAGAGAGCTACATGATGGAAGCATAAGCTTCCATCTTCCTCAACGAGGTGAACTCATCAACCTGGTGTTTCAGTGTCGTTCTTAATTCAGAGCTCATTATTGGGTACACCAAAGTAGTGCCTAATAATTGGCACCTCCGTATATGCCAATTATAGGACATTATTTTGTTTTGTTTTTATTTGACAAAATAGCAGAATGATAAATGGTGTTCATATAAACTCGAAAACATTTAGTGGTGAATATTCACACACTATTTTTTTATGGACAACGATGCCCCGTATTGTAAAACATATTTCATACACTGTGTATTTATTAAAAATTAAAATTTGTATACTTTTGTGTCCTTTCTCACTCTTTTTTTGAAATTCTGTCATATTGCTGTTGAAACCCTGGGCAACCCGCTCCTTCAAACATAGTTCAAAAGTGAAGTATATAAAAAAAATTTCTTATTTACAGCTACTTAGACTAAAGGGAAAAGAAACTTTTTTGTTTTTGGCTGAACCGTCACTTTAATTCTCATATATCCCTACTTCGCAGCAACTCTTTTAGGAAGTGGGTCATGTTATTCTCTTTCCTAAAAGCCCTCAGGTTATTTCCTCCAAGCTTCTTGTGCTCTTTTTCTCAGAACAACATGGCGTCCTTCCCCCAGCTTTTTAAAGACGCAGCTCACTAACTCCTCTTAACTTTACTTGTAAATAAATACGTTTTGGAATAAAATCACAAACTGCCTCAGCACTTTGTTTGCAAAAAAAACAACAATTTGTTTTGTCTTGTCTCTCATTTTTCCCCCCCAATAGTCAGGAATCCATGGAGTTTCGAAGGAACAAGGTCATGGGTTGATTAAGACTTCAAACGCAGTCATTAGGCTTTTCGGTAAAAATCTGTCCTCTCTCGGAAAAAGCGGCTTGAGCAGAGCAAAAAGCGCGCTTTTCATCAGCGTCCCCTCCTGAAGCCGGACCTGCCAGTGGGCCTGCAGCGGACCGAACCCTAATCCATACTGACATCAATTAGGGATAATCTCATCACTTTTAGAGAGTGGGCTTGTCAAAGCTCTAATTAAGTGCGCTGTCCACCCAGCAGCCCCAACACCACCACCACCACCCCCCCAATATATGTGCAGACAGGATCAACAACACATTGTAGGCCAGCGATGGACATCTTTGTGCTATTTTTGTGAAAGTCTCAGATTTTCACCTGGTCTTGATATCAATATGATATTTACTACTGCAATTAAAATAATCATATTTCTGTATCATATTGGCTAAAATGTTTGGTTTACAGATTATTGCACAAGTTTTTGATCAAGACTCAGTGGCAGGGTGACACAAAGAAGCACGATCGAGAGGATCAAGACTCAAGAAGTTGTCATTTTGCCAGCACCAGGTAGTGAAATTATAGTTTACAAAAGAGGGTTGAATAAAATAGAGGCAACCAGGGATGGCTGGTACAAATGGGCTAGCAGGGCTAAGTCATTCAAAGATAAAAAGACATGAATATAAGGTTTCGTTTTTGGCATTGATTGGATCTTTGCTGTTCACAGATGTTGGAGTATTTTGGATTTTTGTGGAATCAAGCGTCACCAATGGCCACACAGAATGGTATGAAGAAGTGAGAAGCGAGGCTGGGGCTGATTTCTTTCTAGACCAGACTGTAGCGTCATGCACCGTATAAGTGACAGTCGTGTCAGGTGATCACACAAAGTAGAACTCTAGATTTGATCTCCATTTGGGCTGATATTTCTCAAACATCCGTAACACGTCATCAGCAGTGATTGAGAAGCCGTGTGTGGAATCCATTTTTCTAAGAAAAAAACCTTTTGAGGAGAAATAAGAGTAGTTAATCTAAACACATATTGTCCCATAAAAGTACAGATTACACAATCAGACAGACGATAGACCTGGGTTACTAAAAACTGGCTTACTAATTGATTTTCATCTTTCATCTTTAATGTGGCGTAATCTCTTACAATACAGTTTACGTCAGCCTTTTCCTTCTGAGCTCGTTTAGCAGGTGTTACTGTTAACGTTAATGTTAAGCTTTCATAATTTTTCAGTGAAAATAGTAGCAAAGTGTAATACTGTACATCGGCAGGTGAATGTAACCTGGTGTGACCTCGATGCTCGACACCTTTTCTCACGTCAGTCCCGGTGTGCCATGGTGTGTGTGAGAGCGAAAGAATAGCAGCAGTAACCTTAAACTCCCGTCAAGTGAGAACTGGTGGATTTCACTGATCTCCCACTCACTTCACAGGTTGCCCTGAGAAGCGTTTCCTTCAAAGCAAGCCTGATGCTCGGAGAAGGAGGGGGAGGAGGGGCAGAAAGCCACTCTTTTTCTTTTAATGAACTTTTTCTTTACATTCTCCCTCCTCCTGCTCTCTCCTTGAACTCGACCATAATCTCAGGCAGACAAAAGCATGGCCCTCCTCCCGCTTCCAGTTCATATTCCAGCTCAAATCTTTTAAAATGGCTTCCCTGTTTTAGGCTGAGACTACAAATGTAATTGTGTTCCCGGGATCATGGGTGTTAGTCTCACAAAAGTTGGTCGTCACAGGAACCAGCAGGTGCTGCTTTCCTAATCACAAACTAGAAAGAGGAGATCTTAAATCAAAAATGTTGTTTTTATTTTGATTGTGTTACTTTTTTTAATTTGGACAGATTGTGATGGAGTAAATTTGTATGTAGGAAAGTTCAGCGAGTTTAGCATCATTTAGCAGATCTTTACTTGCTTCATGCAAAATATCATTCCAGCCTCTTCTTCATCAATCCATTCAATTAGCTGGCAAGAATCAAGAGTCAAAGGCATGTTGGTTTGGCTCCATACATATGGAGGGCTTTCCCTTTGTACCACTGTTTCAAAAGACGACGTGTCCTCTGTTCACCCAAGCATCAGTTTGCCCTGAAGATCAGAAGGAGTCTCCAACATCCCAATTCAAACTTCCTCGCTGATTCCTGAGAGCAAACTGAGAATCATATGGCCATTTAATGGCTGTTGGAGTATCAAGGAAATAGGCTTAAAGTACTTCTGGACTTCTAAAATCCTCTTGGATAGCTGATTCTGATTATGTAGGTTAAATTTGGGTCAAAGTTGTTAAGGTATTAACATCATAGATTTCTATTTAAAACAGAGACATTCTCATTGACATATTTGGGGTTGGGATTGGGCTATATTAAGTATAAGTGCAGTTTGTGATGTCACAAAATATGCTTGAACCTATCTCAGCCAATATGGATTAGAGTGTTATTAGAGTATTGCTTTTGATGACACAGATCCTGAATCCCACTCATGTCTACATGCAACAAATGTAAACTAGCTGACTAGCTACTGAGTAGCTAGCTGGAGGTTAGCGATGGAGAACATGGGTTTCCAGTGGTATTTTTTTTTAATATATATATATATATATATATATATATATATATATATATATATATATATATATATATATATATATATGATGGAAACATTGAGATTTTTAGTAATTCCTAGGCCATTGTTTGTATTTTCTCCATTAAAAACAAATTAAATTATTTATTATTTGTGGGTAGATGTGTGCTACATGTAAGTATAGTCCTGTGTTCTGAGAAGTGTATGTGTATTTGTATGCATGTTTGTGTGATGGGGGCTGAGGGATTGCAGGCGGCCCTGTGCCTGCACTCTCATTGTTTCTTTGTTTATGTTAGACACTGTGTCAGAGAGCCAGAGGTTTACTGCCCAACCCATCATCTGACTCACTCAACTGGCACTAACACTAACAGCCCTCAGTGCAATCCTGTACCTGTGTGTATGTGTGTGTGTGTGTATGTGTGTGTGTGAGCCAAAGCTGGAGAGGGGGATCGGTTTGATTCAATATCATTAAATCAAACCATCACCTTGCAACCCTCATCTTCAACCCAGAGACAATTTTAACTTCTTCTAAACGTGAGCAGGGTTGCCAAGGTTGCAGTTTTTACAGCAAATTGAGCTAGTTTTGGAAAAAGGTTGTGGGCAGAAAAAGCAAGTCGAGAGGTATCATTTGTTTGGGATTATATCTAATCAATCATTGGCTATGCCAAAAGGAATGTGTAAAGTCTACTTATGAGAACATGTTCAAATGAAGTATCGAGGCTAGTAAAATTCATTCTGTGTGTTTCTTTAGATATACCACCAGAGTGGCAGGTTTAAAAGACAAGAAGAAGAACATACCGCGAAAACTGAAAAAGGGAAAATGAGATTATGGAGCGAATAATGGCCTTACCGGGGCAGTGGTCACTCAGTGGTTATGATGTTGGACTGCTGCTCGGAAAGTTGAGTTCAAATCCCAGCACTGCCAAGTCGCCACTGTTGGGCCCTTACCGCTAAGCTGTATAAATAAGATAACTGTAAATCACGCTGGATAAGGGTGTCTGCCAAATGCCATAAATAAAGGCATATTGTAGATACTGTAAAGCAGAAATGCGCCTGCTGTGCAGTGAACTAGTTTACTATGCAAAGAAAGTAGCACTTCCAGTGTCTGACCATTCTGGGCTAGTTTCAGTTTTTTGTGCTGTTTTCGAGATGTGGTTGGGCTGTAGATTTTGCTGAAACCTGGCAACCCTGTACTTGAAATATTTGAAACCCACTCACTCTACAGCCTGGAGGCACATTTATCTTTCTCTTAAAACCACCATCACTGCTGTCCTAGCAAACTCTTCAATGCTGCCATATAAAATGATGCCTTGTTACCAAGTGAAAGTCGTCTACAACGTTCGGGTTTAAGAGCCTATTTACACGTTTGTTGTGAAAGCAGTTGCCAGAGGGGAGTCTCACTGTGACTGTGTCCCCATTGTAAGCAACGTCACTAGAGCCCAGAGATGCCCACAGGCCCTGGAGTGCCCCCTTCCCCCTACCCACACCCTGCAAGCCCAGACCTGCCCGGACCTGACTTAAAAATAACCCCAGATTGTTAATCATGCAGACGCTTCCCCTCCCTCCTTCTGCATACACACCCACCCTACACCCTCCCTTGTGTTCATTATGTTGACCCCATCACTAGAAAAGCCCCCATGTGTCTGCTTCTAAATGTTCTCATGTCATTCAGAATGGCACACATAGGCTTCCTTCGACTTGCGAGGCCAAGGTTGTTTTGTAGCCTCACATCCCAGGGGGCCGCTAGCGCATTATCAGCCATTAACTGTAAATCTGAAGGATGGTTACTCTGAGGTTTATTCTGACTAAGACTTGCAGATCCAGATTTTATGGTGAGACAGCCTTGGCTACTGGCCATCCAGCTGATTGGTGGTTTATGGAATGGGATGCAGTGGTTGTTGTGATTATTGAGTTGTGTATCATTTATGAAACAATAGGTTGGGCTGTTACAAGAAAATAATTGGTGATGGTGTGGTGTGATGTGGCCTGGCATGACTGAGTTACAGCTACCACCCTGAAGTTGATTGTTTTCCTATAACTGCACAAAAATTATGTTTGGTTGTTTGGTATTGGACGTCAGTTTGTTTAAGTCATATTTGATGAAGTTGGAAGACAAAAACAATTAAAGTTCCATTGCGTTCCCATGATTGGTATTTACTGTTATTTGAGAGTACTCCAATACCTGTGCTGGACTGAACCACAATAGTAATGTTACAACGGTGCTTGTATGACATATTTTTAGAGACAAACAAGTTCTTTTCACTAGTGCCACTAGTTAATTTGTAATTAATTAGTACTAAATGGTGGAACTAATTATTTTTTCATTCTCTAGTAATGACAAGAATGTCATATCATTTTAAGGTTTTAAAATACATACAAATGGGAACGCTTCATCTGGAACACTGGTTGGAATCAATCAGCTAGCATGATTGCATTGTTTTAATTTATTATTAATTCTAGACAATGAATCCTAACCCCTTTGAACTTTGGAATGACATCTCGTCTGTGGGTTTTTGGGGGTTTGGTTATGGATAATGAGCTCTACCTTTTATTTTCCCTCCACTCTCTCTCTCTCTTGTCTCGCCTGGTGATGGAATTAACTAGAGGCTCGCAGAGCGGAAATCACTTGCGGCCTTTCTGAATGATGTCCCAGAGATGGGAACGGATTAGTGCCCTCTCTTTCTCCGCCCGTAACAGCACCAGGTGGCTTTTTTCACTAGCAAAGGTGTTACACTTAATCTCATTACATTGCTGCTAAACCTCACAGACCTCAAAATTATCACCCCCACCACTCTTTCTCTTTCTTGCTCTCTCTCCTCAATTTCTCTTCACCCCTCCTGCTCTTCCCATCCTCTCTCTTTCCAAGTCACTGGAGGTGGCTCCACCTGAAAGGAGAGAGAAATTGGTGAGGCGGCTGCTGTTTTAGCTGCCACCGCTGACTCACAGCGAACACCAATCCTGATCCAATTTCGCCACGCTGGTGGCCTCTTATTCCCCTGTCCAATAATGTGTCTGCTGAAAAAATCCCACTGCTTCAAATCAAGTCTAATCCTTGCTGGAGACAGTGTGTCAATCTCATCCTTCAAAAAAACATACAGCAGGTCTCCACCCGCTATCTCTCTTTCTGTATCTCTCTTTCTATTTCTCAGTCCAGTTCGTAAGGCTCTTGGGACTGTCCTCTAAGTCCCTCATCTCCTCAAAAGAATAGAAAAGGGATCACACAACATGACCTCCTAGCACCTTGATATCACAATATTGCAACCCTTGGGGCATTGGGACGTAGGTACGGATTAATACTTTGCATAATAAGATTACACGCTGGCTGAATGATATCAAGGGAGGATCCATATGTGGCAGGCTGGCGCTCTGTTGCCCGAACGCTAGTGGATGGTATAAATTGCGGATTGGGTGGGGGACCTTGGAGGGGATAGAAATCAAACAGGATTCAGATCAGATGAACATGCTGGCCATTTGCAGCCAAGGCTTTATTGCTTGCTGGACCTGGATCTGCCCACATGTTTCCACGTATGATTCCACTGCTCTGGTTGTGTTTTGAAAGTGCCCCAAGGATTCACATTTTTACTAGGACTTTACTTCATTATTTGTGAACCTACAGATCACAAATAGAGTATAGATGCTAGATGAAGACCACTCACTGATCTGTGAAATACAAGAAAACCCTCAAAGAAAGGGGAAACTTTGGATGGTAGAGTTGTTGGAATGCCAGGATTTGCTCGCAAACAAAAGTCCCATCACTGACATTGTGGTCTTTGGAAAGAGATGTCAGTGAGAAACTTTCCAATATCCAGTTTCCTTGCTTAGGAATGACTGAACGGGGCCTTGCAGAGAAAGCTAGAGTGATAGGTGGTCTGAAAGGCTAGTGGAAGAGCTTTTTTGTTCGTGGAATACCTCAGATGCCAACTGTGATGCATCCTGCTGAGAGGCTCCTGCCTTTCACTCAGGAATCCCATCATCCACCTCTCTCCATTCCAGATCTAGCTCCATATTCCAATGTAGTGCTCAGAAAGGACTTTGGGTCAGGAATGGGTAGCAGAGGCTTTTGGCTCATTGCAGTTTGACAGAAAATGGCTGAGTCAGTAAGTGGGATAGGATCAATAAACAGGGGCAGGATTGCAGAGCCGAGGCTCTGCTAAATGACTGTGAGTCTGAGTACAGTGCGAGCTCGTTGGCCACTCCAGCACTGTGGGAAACCTGGGGAACTGTAAAAGCTTAGCAGCAGGGGGTCCCGAATTGAAAACACACCTACTGGCATTAAACAATGCCCTACTCAGTGGCGTTCAAGCACTAACCTCTCCGTTTGGTACCATGGGCTTTAATGCTGGTCAGAGAGAAGGTTATTGTTGCTGTGTTAACATTCGTTTTGGCCCTCTTGGATTTGAAGCAAATTTGAGCAAAGACTAGGGCAAGTAGACCCAGTGCACAAAGATGTCTTGAGTGTTTAGAAAGGAACAAAAAGGACAAAAGTGACCCAGCTGGGAAATTGTTGTGCTAATTCATTATCCTCTGCTGAGCAAAAATCTTTAATCATGTAGTTGATCATTAACAGCATTTATTTGGTGATGGGTTTGATATCCACCCAAGAGGGTTACCTCACATATAAAACACCCGTCTAATCCGTTTGTCTAATAAACATCTTATCTTTTATAGATGCTGATCAACACCCCTGTTCCCCACAAACGCACCCTTGATTAAGGTCACGGCCTGTGATCGCAAAATGTGCGTCACCTGCTTATCTTATATCAGAGCCCCCTGCCTCTTATGCAAATATGCCAAGATAGGACTTGGATCCATGTACCAGGCTCCCCCCTCAGATCGGTTCCATTTCCCCCAGTGTTTGAGCTGCTGATAACAATCAGTGCTGAACAAGTGTACCACATCACAGACCCAAATTAGCAAAACATGGGAAGAGAGGTCCAGGCAGCTGCCAGCCAAAGAGGATTAGAGGAGTCCCTCAGTCCCTCAGCCCCAACTCACAAATTACATATGATAATCAAGCAGCAGCTTCACAAATGCAGTTGAAGACAGTGATTGAAAAATACTGATCTGTGTGATCAGTGCTGGGTGGCGTCGCCAAATCGGGAATTCTTTGCAGTTTGGTCATTTGTGGGCTTGTGCAAAGCCTACGAGCCTTAATTGAGGTTATCTAATAATTCAGGGTGGGTTGTAATGAACTATCCACTTTATCTTGTCGAGACCGTATTGATATTTGAGTGTCATTCATTCAGTTCTAGGGAATGATTTGTGTTTTCGTTGCGACTTTTTTCTCCTGACAGTGTTTACCGACTGATGAGTCAGACCTTCACACAGCACTAGAACAACTGGTGGAAAAAATAACTGTCAGAGTGCATTTCCTTCTTTACAGCTTGTCATTTAGTGGCATAAAGTTATTGAAATCTCTAATAAAACTTACATAATTTCAACCTCCAGCTGATTGACAGGTGGGCCACAAGCTGTAAAGACTGGCAACATGGACTTCTCTCCATGCTGCTGCCCTCACATTCATTTTAAATAGAATTAGCTAAAAATATCAGCATCAGCTATCAACTAATCAAAGTCAACACAACAACAATAGGAATAAACACTGATTGAAACTTAGAAATAAAGGCAGGAAACTAACAAGGTGGTATGGAACTTTTTCTTAGAATTTTCTTATATTTTCCTTGGAACAAACCAGATCTCTGAATTTATACAGATGTACCAATTGGATGCTATACAGTAATTTTTTTTTTTTTTTTAAATTAACACAATTTTTTGCTAAAGCAGACAATCTCTGTACTAATTTTATGCCAAGAATTACTTTAGCATTCGGTTCTAACAAAGAGCTGTCAAACAATCTTCATCAAAATCATTTATAATCAAACCCAGCTGGCACCCAAATGAACTTGCTTGCTAATTTCCTCTGAG